TATTTTATTAGTTTGTAAAGGGTGTTAAGAAAGTTCATTCCACATTTTTCTTTTATTTTTGAAAAGAAACATGATGAGAAGATATTTACAATTGGTGATATTTCATGTTTACAGAATTCATTCTTGCTACTGATAAGGTTTTAACTGTCTTTTGTTGAATTAATAAGGGGAGGGCAGGTATTAAAACAGATGGTGTCTGTTCAGAAAAATTAAGGACGACGTATATTGGTGACATATATTAAGCACACAGGTCAAAACATCCATTCAAATACTATGCAAAAATTATCAAGTCGGGGAAAAATTTCAGCATGACAAACCTATTCTTTTGAAAAGTGATATATTCTTGTTCTTATACCTACGCTCATCAGCTTGTCTGATGCAAGATAAGGTACGAGGAAACAAAAGTAAATTAACCTTTATTTTCACACAAAATGACCACCGTTTCTACCACTCAAGTGCTTTAAAGATGTCATATATATTTTCATATGGAAGAAGAATCATATAACTTCCTGCTAGAAATGAATTGCTATAAATCTGAAGCACACTCTTGTGATTTTATCAGACTTAAAAATTCATTTCTTTCTAACCTAAATTAATTAGTTGAGCTTTCATTTTTTTTTCTAATTTACTGTAATCGCAACAATATCTTTATTTACAGAGGTACAAAGTCTTGCTGTGTCGGATACTACTGGAATGACAATAGACAAGAGTGTGAAGGTGAAAATGAATATCCTTTTAATTGATTTTTTTTTTTACTTTAAATATTTGTGTGTAATAAATCATGAATGAATCAATAACACACAACCTCTTTCAGATATATTAGCCAAATTTTGTATTTTGGAATAATAAACAACCACAAGAAATTGTGAAAAACATGTGCTCCCGTGTGCCTGTTTATGACGAGGGTTGATGTTTTTCAAATCATGTCAAACCCGACGGTCAAGGTCAAAGTATCAAATTTGTTGGTTTCAAGATAAAGGTATTTTCACAAGGAATACAACTTTGAAATATGAAAGCCATAGTTCTAACTTTTCAAAAGTTATGACCAAGTTTTTTTTAATGAAATTTGGTCATATTCTAAGGTAAAAAATGTCTTTACCAATTGAAAGGTTTTGTTACCATGAATATACATGTGAAGGTTGAAAGCCCTAGCACCAACTGTTCAACAGTTATAGCTAAGGTTAATGTTTGGTACTTTTTACTAAAATTGGGCAAAACTCTAAGGTCATTGTTAAGAAGTCAAATTTGATGGTACCCAAAAGTAAGGTCTAGTCACAATGAATACAGTGAAATATGGAAGCCAAGGCCCCAGTCAGTCAAAAGTTATGGACAAACAGACCTGCAGACAGACGGACATCACGAAGACTGTATAACCATCTCGCCCGAATCTTCGATTACAGGGGCATAATAAATACGAAATTGCTTTTTATCCATGTTTTTTTTTATTTATAACATTAGTAACCTAATTTTTAAAACATATTATTTGTTTTATTTAGTATGTTTGGATGGATATTTTGGTTTGAACTGTTCCAAGTTTTGCCCATATCCAACTTATGGAAAAAAATGTCTAAAAACATGCGACTGTCCTAAACTATTCTGTGTTCCAACATTTGGGTGTGCTGTAAGACAAGGTGAGGATACGAGTGGTTTCCATGTCAAAAAAATATTATCGTTCACATTTAGTTTGGCGACAATATGTTCTTAACCTTAGTTTGGCGACAATTTGTTCTTAACCTTACTTTTGCATATTGTTCTTTTTTCGGAGTTTTCCATCATTCGAATAATAAATTAACAAATGTAGCCCTTAATTTCAGTAAATACATTTATATATCGACTTATATATTAATATCACAGAAAAGCATATCGAAATCGCATTTTGATGTGCTTTTCTTTAAAGTCAATATATCTAATGATCTGCAAAGTCAATATATCTATGGATCTAACTGATGAAAGGAGTTTTTTAATTTAATATAATCTATTTATTTTTATTAACATAACTGCATTTATCGTCGGTCCAGATGTAAGGATTTTTTAAAGATTTGTTTGGGAACTTATTTTTTTATGTTATTGGTGTGTAAAAGATACTTGTAAATGTATCTTATTAATCAGATGTATGAAAATAACGAATAGTGTTCAATCTAAGAAGTCCATTAAACAGGAGCACAGCACACACAGCAAAGCATCACAGGTGGGATCAGGTGCCATGGAGGACTAAGCATCCTCTGCCAACCAATCACACCACACTGTGTTCCTTGTCATAATTGGAAGATAACGATAAAATCTATCGTCAATACAGCGTGTAAATAATGGCCCAACAGTTAGTAGGAAAAACTTCCGTGATAAATTGTACTTGCTGTCAAGGTCAAGGAAGCGTAAAGCACTGCAAAGGTATGAGTTTCTTAGTTTATAGTGAGTACAGGCTATTTTCTACTGCCACAGTTCGTTTGTGTACCAAAAAAAAAACAAGCATTCTGAGAGTATTGCATAAGCAATACACGTCCCCTACTGGCTTCCCCTTTTTCTTTAGGATGTCATTTTATAATAAGCAAAAGTTATGTCCAAGGTAAAACTGCTTGATTTTGAGGTTGTGAATGCCTTTAACCTAATAAAAAAATCCACATAAAGACGAAAATTCAATCAATTTTTCAAAGTCTTTTCTCGCTTCATATTTACCTTGTTGACTATCGGAATTGAGCGCAGCACGAACCCGATCTTAAACCAAATTGAAAAATTAAAAAGGCCATAATTTTGTCAAAAAATCAATGAAGCGAAACGACATTCAAACTTAATCTGTAACTCATCAAGATACATTCACATACCAAAATTCAGCTCAATATCTGCAAGCGTTTAGGAAAAAAGTGAGGAAAACCAAGTCGGACAGTTTGACAGATAGACGGGGACAGACGGACGAACGGACAGACGGACGCAGAGGAAACCTATCGTCCCCTCCAGTTTCACCGGTAGGAAACTAATAAAAAGATTACGAAAAGTACTAATTTTGGAAACCTTTTTCTTTTTCAAACGATTTACAGAAAATACAGATGACGGGGATTCGATTACAAAGACAGCTAAGTACAATATTAGTTCAGAAGAAAATTCAGCTTTTTCGACAGAAAGGCAGGAAACAACGCCAAGAAATAAAAAACATGTTCCTTCCAATATCAAAAAATCCTCCAATCTCTTTGTTGCTATTCTGATAGCAGTTGCATTCTTGATAATAGTCACCATACTACAAATGGTCATCAAAAGAAAACTTTCGAGAAAACGTCCGATAGGGAACAACAGCGCCGAAGTACCTCAGACTGAAAATATTCATTCACGTCAGAGTGAGAGACGAGTGAGTGGGAATGGAATTCTAACGGAGACTCAAATTTAGCTTTGTAATTAGTATTTTGCGAGAAGTAACTAAACTGAATATATGGAGATAACAAACGGTATTCCAGCTACAAAGTTTATTAAGCAATACAAGACTGGAGCAGGTTAAACATACACCTCCAAAAAATCAGAGGTTGGGATCAGTTGTCATGGAGGAGTAAGCAGCCCCTGCCGACCGGACACACACGGCCTGTACTCCTTCTCATGATAGGGAAATAACGGCAAAATCCATCGACAATTCAGTGTGTATATAATGGCCTAAAACTTGGTATGAAAAACGTCAGTCAGCATTTGATTTAATGATAAATTGTTTATGCTGACAAGGTCATCGTATCGACCAAAGAACTTTCAAATTGATGATTGTAAACGACACTGCTGATATTAGTGTTTCATCAACTTGTTTGTCAATAATTTACCTCGTTTTAGAAATTGTTCATACGTAGAACATGATCTTGCGTATCGAATCAACTAAGAGATGTAAACTGCGTATGCAGGTGACAAAGGTATTTTGCTAAATAAGGGAAATTGACGACAGAAAGAAATTGACGACAGAAAGACGTTTTTCATGAAGCTTTGATGTTATATAACCCTTAACGTCTTTTTCTACTAAAATATCCAATTTAATTTTGAAACAGATGTGTCTGAGTCTGTGGCATATTTTTTCAAGCTAATCAGGATATATCGTTTCGGAATAAGAATGAATGCATCTATATATCTTTATGTCAAGTTCAAAGCTACAGCAAGTGTTTCCTTCTTTTTATGTACAAGATTTGAACAAACTCGGTTTGATATGAATACAAAAATAGGTCTGCTAATTACAGGGCGCAATAGGTACTCAACGGAATTCAAATAGATTGTTAGAATACCTGTCTCCAAAAACCACATAAATGGATATAGACATTGTCATTCAGAAACTCGAGCATCTTTTTCATATATATTTCAGAGTACCCGTGTGTACTATAAGATAGTTATTTGAACAAAATACTTTTGCAAGTTACCAATGACAGGTAAAGTCAATTTACGAGTTCAGGCTGTATCGGATAAGTTTTTGTGTTGTTGGTCTTGGTATAAAAAATTTTCAAATGTTCTAAAAGTTTCTTTTGGTTTTTTAGGAACCACATCTGAAATGATTTATTCCTACATAAAGTGTAAATCGCAGACTATATCCTTACCGTTTATTTTAATGGAATATGTGTTTTGAGGAAATATATGAGACCGATGTATAGTTAATAAAATAAATAAATGAATAGCTTGAGTTCTTACAGCGTAAAAGGAGATTGAGTATAATACTAAATTATATCGACTTTATTTTGCATAGTTTTGTATATTATGTATGCATGCTTTAAGCGATATCAAATAATTATCTGTACATTAACATAATACCCCGTCATTAAGTTCTATACGGCAGTATACAAAGGAAATTAACGGAACTAGTCTTTGGATTAAAAAATGTGTTCCAAGATAGTTTAATTACTATTCTAAGTTATCAAAATTTCTGCGTAGAATGTTTTAGATACAATTCTCTACTTTGATTCGATGTCATTTGTTTGCAAAATGTTATCAAAAACATATCACGAGTTTTTAAATAACTGATAAAAGGTGAGTGCCTCTGACTGAATGCAACTAAAAAGTGTAAAGGGGATACCTAGGAAAATCATGAACTGTAAGTGTTTCAGAAACTTTTTGCAATAAAAATCAGCTGTCTTTTGTCCATGTGAGAAAATCTCAGATAGTCTTCTTAACTATGGTAAATGATTATTTTTACTAAATCATTCATTATAAGATATCAAACCGAAACTTGGATGTTCAGTTTGTTATTTGCCGAATATAAATTATCTTCACAAACAAAATGAAAGATGAATAAATTCCATCTTTTTGTTCAGGGGTCTACATGTTGCATTGTTGTCGATTTGAATCATTTTTAAAACTTCCTAAAGAAGGATATGGAGATAACGAACAGTATTCAATATCAAAATCAATAAACAATACAAAATAGGAGCAGAGTAAACACGACCTCTTAAACATCAGAGGTGGGATCAGGTTCTATGGAGGAGTGAGCATCCCTTGCTGACTGGTCACACCCGCCGTGTGCTCCTTGTCATGATCGGTAAATAACGGTAAAAACCGTCTTCAATTCAGTGTATAAATAATGGACTAACAATTAGTATGAAAAACGTCAGTCAGCATTTGACTCATTGATAAATAACCAAAAAATTCTTAAAGGAAAGTTAGAGGAACCCCCCCCCCCCCCCCAAAAAAAAAGAAATAGGATTTTTTGAGTAGGTGCAGGGGCCGGTAATTACTATTTTATAAATATGCAAAAAAGAAAGAAATGTTTCTTTTGATGTATTTAGTGAATAAGTAAAATCAAAGATATAGCATGGTAATTACCGGTCTATGTGGGTGCAGTTTATCAGGGGATTGTTGCTGTATGTAATTTTTTTGGAGGTTTCCCATCCCCAACCCCTTTACCTCTACCAACTGACTTTCAAAAGCATTGTTATTGGGCATTGTTAGGATCGCACAAAATATGACTTGTCATGTACTTGGTTTTCTATTATTAAACTGATAATGTCCTACTTGGTATTTAATTATTCTGTATCAAGTCATTTATGTTTTTACAATCACATGATAATTTTTTGTCCTATATGACTTCACGTTACGTTATACAAATTATGACGTCACTTTCGCAGTTTTCTAGTAAAACAATGCCATACTAAACTCTGTTTAAGAAAAAGTAAAATATATATCAAAAAAAAAAAAAAAGAAAAAAAAAGGTTCCATAAAGCTTGAAGTCTACAATATCTGTTATCAAGATTTCATTATTTTTTTAGGTGAGGCATTTTTTTACCATTCGTGGGCTTATCTCTTTTATTTGCTGACAAGGTCATTGTATCGACCATAGAACTTTCGAAATGATGACTTTAAGTGAGGCTGTTGATATTCCTGTTTCATCAACTTGCTTGTCAATAATTTGCCAATTTTTATAAATAGTTCATACGTAGAACATGCTCTTGTGTATCGAATCAACTGAGATATATACACTCCGTATGCAGGTGTTGAAGGTATATGCTGCATAAGTAAGGGAAGTTGATGATAGAAAAGTTAAAGTCATCACGTTTATCATAGAGCTTGGTTGTTAGATTACCATTAACGTCTTTTTCAAGTAGAATATCCAAGTATGAAACAGATGTGTCAGATTCTGTGGTATCTTTGTTCTCAAGCTCACCAGGATATATCGTATCAACGAAGAAAAGGAAATTACCATTGTTAATCGACGATGCGTCGTCGATATATCTAAATGTCGAGTTAAAGGCCACAGCAAGTGTTTTCTTCTTTTCACGTATAAGATTTTGCACAAATTCTGCTTCATATAAATATAAAAATAGGTCTGCTAATAACGGAACACAAATGGTACCAATGGGAATTCCAATAGATTATTGGAGGACCTGTTCTTCAAAAACCACATAGATATTGTCAATCAGAAACTTACGCATCTCTTTGATGTCAACTTCAGAGTACTTGTGTGTGCAATCAGAAGAAAGTGGCCTTTTTTCAACTTTTCTTTGAATTAGAATGCTTACAAGTTTTATTCAAGGCATATCATTTACATATATGATAATTTGCTTTTTGGAAGAGTTAAAATGTTTTATCAAATTATCTTTGATAAAAATCTCTCATGTAAAAAATAAACAATATTTCAGTATGTTTCATTAATTTTGATATATGATATTGAAAGTTTAGCATTATAATATATGTGTGAGAAGGTGATATACATGTATGACATTAAAGAAATGTAGGTATACTTGACAATATAACATAGAGTTAACATTTTGAAAAGTGATGTTTCATGAAAAACGCAGCTCAGAAAAAAATTCACTTCTTGTGAGTGTACATGTATTAATAAGAGAGAAAACTATTTAAAAAAAAAAAAAAAAAAAAACTTTTGTTGATTCTCTTTGCAGTTCATGTCATTCTTGTGAACACTGTTTCATGTACAATTGTATATTATAGATGATGTTCATTTTAATATTCATTTAAAGCAAGTTTTGTTGAGAGCTCAAGCAAACCACATTTGATTCCATAGGAAGCATCCAGCATATTTTTTTTATTATTTGCTTACACATTCCGCCCTGCATTATTTTGTACTGACAGCTTCATATAAATCTTTCAAAACAAATAAAGTGCTGATGAGCATTATTTTGAGCGTTTTATCCAGTACATGGTAACTTACATTTTTATTACTTACGTAAGATTTTCATTCGGAACACTTCCCTTAAGGGCGAACTTCATTCGTTTATTGTTGCTTTGGAATGCAACAAAATTATTCTTAGAAAGTGAAACATACGTGAATCCTATTCTACTTATAGCACTGCGGGATCAAGCATATTATGGTTCATATTCTGAACTTAACCGTTACGATGATATTTAAATGAACGGGTTTATTCATCAATTAGCAATAGCACATGAAATCAAATTGCTTCAATTACTTTGTACTATGATGCGATAATTTGACATTTTGTATGGTCTCGTTTTCGATTTTTTCGCTCATATAGAGACCGGTTTTCAAATTAAAACTTTACCTTGCATTCAGCATCATTGAGTATAAGAATTCTTTAAAGGTCACTTAAGGTAGGATTCTTCTCACATTTCTTGTATTTAAAAAATAATGAAATTTTCACAGAATCAAGAGGAAAATATTACTAAGTGATGGTATCAGTGAAATTAAATTTGACCGTTTAATATTAGAGGCAAGGTCAGGTCAAGGTCATTACCTTTTCCCTGGACATTAGGAATAAAAAAAATTACTGTTTCCAATAATGCGATCCCTACTTGTAATTCAAAAGATTGAATGTTTTTCTTTTTGCATAAAAAGATACTACCATATAGGGCCTATTTGATGATATTACCAAATTTACATGGATAATTGAAATCGAATGGATATTTGCTAATCCGAATTTCCTCTACTTTTCTTACATTTTTAGGATTTATTAGTCATTTTTATATGCTTCCTATATTTAACTTTTTCCAATTTTCACATATAGTAAAGTTATCACATAAAGGTACAAAATGATACAAAAACTAAAAATTTTGATCGTTTACTAAGAGAAAAACAACACTTTTTACGGATTTTTGGCTCAAATCTGTGCTTACATTTGAAGTATTTAAAAGCTAACAAAGTTCTAGCATGTGTGAAAAATCTTATTTATTTGATATATTTTGAAATTTTAGTCCCTTATTATTAATTTAACGTACATTTGAAAATTTCGTCTAGTCTTTGATTGCGTAAAAATTATAACTAAATTCAATGTTCAATAATAATTTTGAGAGCCAGAAAAGAAGGTATTTTCATACACCCACCATTCCGCCAAAAATATAGTCCCTGCTAGTTTTCAAATGCAGTTTACCATTTCTATTAAAAGTTGTATAATTGTGATGAGGAAAGAAAAATATGGTCTTTTAAATCTCTTACACCTAAATATATAATACATATAAGCAAATATACTTTGAATGTTTCATCTAGTCAGACACAAGAGAAGAATCCTACCTTAAAAGCGCAAATTGCTTGTAGAATGATCTCTTTATCCCTTTAGATCATTTGAAGGTGACATTCGAACCGATCACGAAGCGAGTTCTCTATGGACTGAGCTACCGTTATTGCAGATCAAAATTTAGAAAAAAACTTAAAATATCAACAAAAAAAAAGTTTTCACAAACTCTTCATGTCTCACTTTTAAATAAAATAAGTTGATTTTGTTCCTGGATAAAAGCAGTTGATTTAAAGCAGCTAGTTCCCATATTCAAAGATGAATTTTCAGTGCGGGGTAAAGGGTTGCGGGGAGGAGGTCATAAGAGGTCAATACATGTATGGCGCTTAAGTTCATACATAAACTTAAAATGACTTTTAAAGCATAAACAAAACTTTCCCAAAACGTTGAATTTTCATTTTATAAACGGTTAGGTAATGATTATCTTTCAATTTCCACATTTTTTGTCTAACGGCTTTTTTTTAAATTTTTTACCTTAGCAAAATAGATTATCACCGTAACACAAGAATTTGAAATGTTTGACTTTTGTATATTTATTTGAATTTCTTTGTAGAGTTATCTAAAATATATTACAGAAAAGATAAAAGATGCATATGCATTTTTCAGTGTGCATAGTGTTGATTGTGCCTATACAAGTGGTAAGGAAAAAAGCACATTTTATTGACACAGAACATTGAAGAGCATTAAAAGATATGATGCTAAAATAGGAAATTACTTTAGATTCCATTTGAAAGGACAATATGTAATTAGAATCAGGTTTCACCTCTAATATGTGAATCACGTCTAATATGTGAATCAAATTTAATTCTATTGTAGTTGTATTGAATTTAATAGCAGATAAAACAAATTATTTCGTCTGTCATATTTCATATTGTTTCTTGTCTTTGATTTAAGAGGACGTGATGGTTGTTTTCTTTTTAGACTATATAGGTCTCCTTTAGAAGAAGATCTCCATATCAATATATAAGTGATGAAATTTTAAAACTAATATCTCGCAATTTTAATAGCATTCCACTTTGAATCCTATCGGGTATATAATCATTACGTCAAAACACAAGTGACGCATCTCATGCATATTTATGAAATTACGTCAAAAATTGATCATTTGATCACATTCCTAAACAACGCAAGATGGAGTTATTCTTCCTAAAAAAGTAGGTTATTTTATGAAATCTTTTAATTCTCATTTTAAAAAATGTGTTTAAAAAGCAGTTTTTTAAAACCCATTTTTTTCACAAGGAACATGAATTTTGGGTCAATTTCTCAATTTGTGGCTTATTTTTCGATTTTGTCGATCGCATATACTAGAAGTGTTCCCACCTGATCCTATCTCTGGCATTTTCAGGCGTCCGTGTTTTAAGTCCTCTTCACATATTTGTATTGTATATAGATTTTTCAAGATCGATCACTGTTCCTTATTTTCATTTTGTAATTATGACAAACAAAAGGAGCTTTTACTTATATTTGACAATGTACTACATGGTTTTATGTATGAAGTAGTTCTACATACAGTATATTAAATTCGTTTTTCCCCTTAATGAGCCCTAGTATTTACATGTTTAACATTTATTCATTCACTTAATTTATAACGTAGGTGTCGTTGATAAATAAAGGCCAATACCCAGATTCACTGGAAACATTGACAGAAGTTGAAGACTGTCCTAGAACTGCACACGAGTGGCAGAAAGCTGCAAACAAGAAGAATTGCGACATAGTTCAACATAATACAGACAAAGCTTTCGCGTACCATTGTGTGATAGATACGTCGAGGAATGCAACTGTGGAAGTATGTGTTCCATCTTTGCAAATGTTAGGTAAACCTTTTTAATATTTTTCATGTCACAGTAATTGCGAGGGAAAAAAGTCAATGCTTTACTATTATTGTCCCCCGCTTTCACGAAAGCGTGGAGACATTAAATCTCATTCGTCTGTCCGTCTGTCAGTCAGTCCGTATGTCACAAAAACTTTAACCTTGGTCATATATTTTGAATAAGAAGAGATAGGACTTTCATTTTTATATATATATATTACCTGTGACAAGACCTTTCTAAATACACTTTGATTTTTTACCCCGTGACCATGAAGTTTGACCTGTTTAAAAAAGTAAACATTACTTCGAAAATTTTTGTCACTTTTGAATGAGAAGTGTAAAGATTTTCATATTAGAGATGTGTATTACCTGTGCCAAGACCTTACGAGACCCTTACCCTAGCCCTAACCCTCACACTTACAGCCTAACCCTAATTTATATCCTAACCCTAGCCCTAACTCTTACCCGAATCTTAACCCTAACCCTAGCCCTAGCTTTAGGGTTAGCTTTATAGGGTTAGGCTAGGGTTGGGGTAAGGGTTAGGGTTAGGCTTAGAGTTAAGCTGTAAGACCTAGGGTAAGGGTTAGGGTTAGGGGAAATGTAAGTACTATATTTACCTCAAATTATTTCAGATTTTTAGACACAAATTGCAAAGTTTGTAAAAAGCTGTAAAAATCTAACATCAGGTGTCCAGTGTGTTGGGAGATAAATTCATTATGATTTTTAACCTCGTGGCCTTGACCTTGAAGTTTGACCCACTTGACTACTCAAAATCTTTAACTTTATTTTTATCTTTTGAATGAGAAGAGATAGCATTTTCATATTACACATGCATATTACCTGTGACAAGGCCTTCGACATGTATATACACTATAATTTTTGACGCCGCAAACTTGATCTTCAAGTTTGACCTACATTTAAAAAATTTTAACATTACTTTGAATTGGCCATAACTTTGGAATGAGAAGAGATGAGGCTTTCATATTAAAATGTGTATTACCTGTGACAAGACCTTCCTAAAAACAATATGATTTTTGACCTTGGAACCTTGAAATTTGACCTACTATCAAAAACCTTAACCTTGGTCGTGAATTCTGAATGAGAAGAGATATGGCTTTCATATTAAATATGTATATTGCCTGTGACAATCCCTTTCTAAATACACTATGATTTTTTGATCTCGCGACTTTGTTTTGAAGTTTGACCTACTTTTCCAAATTGTTAATTTTTGCTTAAAACTTTTGATTGAGAATAGATGGTTTGCGTATTTCACATGTGCATTACCTGTGACAAGATATTTCCGAGCATGTTATGATTTTTTACCCCTTGACCTACACGATTGACCGTAAAAAATTCAACTTCGGCGATAATTTCCAAATGACATATGATAGGGCGTTCATATTTGACACAATACTGTAAACCAACTTTTATTCGCGACGACTTTATTTCGCGATTTACCGAGGTTAAACTAGTTTGCGACGATTAATTTTCGCGATCAAGCTTTTTTTAATCAGTTGTTAATAGACAAAGAGATATTAAGGACTGGTTCGCGGCGAGAAATATTCGCGATGAAGAGGCTGTCGCGAACTTCGCGAAAATTTCTCGCACGCGAATAAAAGTTGGTTTACAGTATGCCATCTCATCCATAAAGACACCCAAAGCGAGGGGCCATAATTCTTTTAATTTGCTTGTTCACTTCCTAAATTTTATTTACGATTGGAGGAAATATTTGATATTTCATATGGGGTCGAAGTTTCTAATTCTTTTTATCACATGCACTGTTTAGCAGATTGACGTCTCTCAGTAAGTCATATAGAATTTAGATGGAGTGTTTCCTCGACATTATTGCCATAACGTAAAGCGCTCGCTCTCTATACGGGAGGTCTTGGGTTCGATTCCGACCGAGAGTCACCTATATCTGAAACACCTTAAAAATATATCTCACCCAATAATTTGCCAAGCGGTCGGCAATATGAAGTGAAAGTCAAGGGTCATTCGGATGACACCTCAAAAAACGAAGCCCCATGTGACGGTGGATACTGGCACGATAAAGATCCCTTAATGTTTAATGGCCCTGAATGCCGAGGAAAGGTCAAAATTTAAAACCCTTTATCGGTATATAGTGACGTATCGATGTGAGTGAAAATTTTTCGAATTGGACGTATAACAACATGCAATTAATCAATCAATCTTTGCAATATTTCACATGAACACAAGTTCGTCAAATAAATTATTTCCAGAAAAAATTTCACCAGTGTTTCTTTTTAATATAGATTTTTGAATTTTTAATTGATATAATACACTTAGCCTGATTTAAGACCTCAAAGGTTAAGATATTCAATCCATTTTAGAAACAGTTTTAAGGAAATTGAATACATAACAGATATGTAAGTGTTGAATACTCAGTTCATTTAGATATAATTCTCATTTATTACTATAATCATGTAAGAGTAGGATGTGTCCTAATTTATGACCTTGAATTTTGCTAAGAGTTATCTCCCTCTATTTTTAATAAATAAAAAATCTATTTAAAAAATTTTATCCGCTGAAAAATTTGTTTTCAATTGTCATTCTATTTGTAAAATTTCAATGCATCTTTCCACCACAGTATTTATTGATCTTCATATTTGATTTTTCATTTAAAATTATTTTATTTAAAATTCAAAAATTTATACTTCAATGAAATTTTTTGTTAATTAACTACTGCTTAATCAATTTAATTCTTTAAACTTTCTTGCGGGCAATCCTATTCTACCATAAAATGCTTTAATTTAATATCAGAGTATTGTGTATCGGACACACATTTCAGGGTAGAGAATTTGGTCCTATTAGGGATGAAAATCATTTATTGATGAATGTAGAATTTTGTTACAATGCAGTTACATACCAACGTTATCATTTCTAGTTGTGCGATCCAAGCTCTTTCACGGAAAATACCAGTCTGATTAAAATTAAGTCTTTCAATAGCCTTTTCGTTTTTGATGGTTGTGTGGCAACATACCTATGCATATGCATTAAATTTAATGTTCACTCTGATAAGAGAGATAACTCTTGATGACATAAATATCTGTTTTTTGTACAATTTTGCCCGGAAGCTATGCTATAATTTTTGTATTTTACTTATAAAATACATTTCTTTTGAAAACTCATAAAGATTCAAGCAACATTTTATATGAGTGAGAAAAGGGTTTATGAACATTTAGGTCTATGTTATAATCTGCAATAGTAGCTCGTGTGGCGCAGTGGTTACAGCGTCTGCTCTAGAGTGGCGAAGTAAGGTGTACAGTCGATCCTTACGTCGCGGGGTTCAAATCCCAATGTGGTACGTGGAGACCCGTCCTTCGGATGAGACCATATAAACCATGGCCCCGGGTCGCAGAAGGTGCTGACACGAAAAAGATCCCTAACTGCTCAATGGCCCCGAGTGTCGAGTTTAGGACAAAATTTGTAGCTCTCCACCGGCAAGTGGTTGCGTTTCCATATAAGAGGGGCATTTCAATAGTTCTGGCAACTGTTTAATAAAGAATTACGCGTTTCACGGAAATTATTGACTTTGATATCATTGGAAAGATAAGAAAAATATACACATATTGTGACGTCACATTCTAGTTTTAATGACGTAATAACTTCGAAAATGACGTAAGACTTTTGCATGTTTACCTCTCTAAATGACGTAACAAAAGACACAATTTGATCAAATTCAAATTTTGTAAAGACAACTTTTGCTCATTACTCCGACGCAAGCTAACGGACGCAAAAGCCAGTTGGTGGAATGTTTACATAGACAACAATCTATCATACGGTGTTCTATTTCGGAGATCTCCTTCTAAAATGGTTTGAGCGAGTGTCAAATTAGCACGGTTTTATCGAATTTCGCTCAAACTATTGCGTAAAAGACTAGAGACATAACTGTGAAAAAAAAGACAAAGTTGACAAAGAAAGTTAGGCGATCGAATTACAAAATTTGATGACATAATTTCGTCATGTCTTTTAACCAAATTTGTGGGATCGATGAAAGCTCAAGAGAAGTTAAGTTTTGTGTGCCCCATATTTTCTCGTAAAATCCAAAATGGCACCGAATCAGTTGTTACTCCACGTACCTCCATATACACGCAAATTTTAATGCATGAAAAATAAATAAGATTTTACATGTCTGTGTAACTTAAAATCTTTTTTTTTTTTGGAGTCAAAGTCAAAAGCAGTAGTGAGTTTTTGGGCGCCGAAGTTGAAATAATATTTAAAAAATATGCATAGAAACAAGTTAGGGGCAAGACTTTTGTACATTTTTTTCGTAAATGGTAAGTGTCATGTTACTCAAAATACATTTGTTGAAAACTGCATTAAAATACTTCAGTTTTATACAGAACATGTTTTATTCATACAATTGAGAGCTATATAAAAGACCAAAAATTTAGCCATATAATGTAAATAAAAATCTTAAATGAATGTCGATGATAGCATAATTGGATAAAAGCCGTGCTAGTAAAGAAACCATACAATGAAATATGGAATTACTGATAAACTGTACCATAGTCCTACTCTATCTCTTTGCAAATTAAAATTTTCTTTGAAATATATTTTTTTTTCAAATAAGTCTTTGACAGCACTTTTACGATCGTCTCATGTGGATAAAAACGCGACTTTTCAATATGCTCAACATTCTATATTCTGATGTGAAACGGTTAATTTTTTATTAAACAGTCGTCAGAACTTTAAAATGCCCCTCGTAAGTGACAGATTTTCGAGAGGGACGTTAAATAACATATATCAATCAATCAATAATCTGCAATATTCATTATCTGTATTATTTGAAGATAAAATAAATTTCATCGTCTTATTTTGTAGGATACTGTGCTGATTATAGCGATGCTGATGCTAAAATAATCAATAATCTTGAATGCACTGACTTCAACCCGCCGTGTCCACGGATATACAATTCCACAGATGCTTACAAATGTAGGTTCTTTTTTATCCGAATTTCATACATTTTTGATGATTTAGAATTAGTTTTAAATAAAGTGCTTTATAGGAAGTTGATTGTAATTGTTTTTCCTTACTTTTATTTGAAGATGATGCATGCTATGACAAAGTATTACATAGAAAAGATGCATTGGGCTCCACTGAAAACTCAACTCGAAGCGAGTAATTTGATGAACCTTGGAAGAACTTCATTGTTTAAAACAAACAACTAGAGAAAATACAAAAATGTTCCACATAACACATCTTTGAATATTTCTAGTTTACAAGAATGTTAAGGCTTATTAAAAGCAGCTACAGTAACTTTGACAAAAAATATGTGATATTTATAATCGAGAGCATAAAATTGATAATTCATGTAAATAATAAGTGTCGCATCTCATAAATATACAATTTGTAAATATTTATGATTGTAGGTCAGATGAGAACGTGCATTCAAGTGGCTCAACTATTATAATTATCGTAGCTGTTATTCCTCTTATACTGATAATTTTGATAATTGTCTCAGTTACATTCATTTGGCGTAGGCGAAGGGCAATGGGTAAGAACAGAACAATGTACACTTTATATCATTTATTTGAACAACTGTGTGCTTTTGTTAAAAAAATTACATAAAACCGAAATTTGTTTTCAGTAAAATGGTTCTAGGTTACATTTACATAACGATTTCTTTTTTAGCATACTCCACTAATTAAGCTCTTTCAAATGGCACAAAGTTCAGTGATCTTGTGACCTGGACTGTGACCCATTTGCAAAAAAAAAAAAATATTTTTTTTGTCTGCACACTTTAACCTTCGCCAGATCTTTTAAACCATGAAAGATAGAGACTTCCTGTTTAGGATGCATACTCCACTAATTAAGCTGTTTCAAATGACACCAAGGTCAATGACCTTGTGACCTTGATTGTATCCTATATGCTAAAAATAGCTTTTTTGAACCTTCACCATTACTTTTGAACTATCAGAAAAAGAGACTTCGTATTTGGTATGCATACTTCACTAATTAAGTTCTTTCAAATGACACCAAAGTCAATGACTTTGTGATCTATATGCTAAAAAAAGTTTTATCGTACCTTCGCCATAACTTTTGAACCTTAGAAGGTAGCGGCTGCATATTTGGTGTGCAAACTCCACTAATTAAGTATTGGCACCAAGGTCAATGACTGTGACTTTGACTGTGACCTGTATGCTAAAAATAGCTTTTTTCGAACTTCGTTGCTGCCGGGCGCATATATGCGCTTTGGGGTACCCATCTCTTTTCCGCAACTCCTCTAATACCACTAGATGAAATTTGATGAAACTTTCACAGTATCTTTATTACATATATCCATTGTGACATCGTATTTTACTTTTTGATCCGACACATATTTTGGATGTCCCACAGCAAAATATGGACACTGCCATTATATTCATATGGGAGGCCGGGTATCATTTAGTGAGCTCATTGCTCACAGTACCTCTAGTTCAATATGTGTTCAGGGAATGCGTCTCATTTTTTGAGTTTCATGATATGATCAATCGAGAGGCTTAATTACGTGATAATTTGCACAATCACCAAAGACTATAACACGAGCTAATCGATTGATCATCGTCATGAAACTAAAAACGGTTATTACTTATATTTACATTTTCTTGACTCCGCGAATTCACTTGCTACAGGCCCCGCTTCTCTCTTTATTTGTCCCGCCCCATATGTGATTTTTTAACAACGCCTATCGATGACCAATACATTTATGTAACAATAAAGTATTTTTCTTTTATCATTTTATATCGGACAAAGACATTGAAATTGTAAATTACTTAGAAATCAATAAATCCTGTTCAAATGATTTTACATGGGTAAAATACATACTTTCAGTCAAAGAGAGAGTCGATGGAAGTAAAAAAAGACATCCAATAGAGACAGAGAATGTGAATGTGAAAGAAATGACAAAGTTGTTTGAAAAGTATTTGAAAGTTTGTCATTAACTATATTTGGATATATTATATAACTCTATCTCTCTCTTCTTCTCTCTCTCTCTCGTAATTTAAGTAGGCTTTTTCTTTTATGTGTTCGATAATTTAAGGATAGGCTCTTTACACTGACAGGTGTAAGTAAAAAACATAATTGTATCTAAATGCAGATAAAGTATTTATATTGCTTTTAATACATCCATATATAATTCATTCTTTGATTTTGTTAGAATTTCAGAATTAAAGTTTTATTTTATTATCAACTTCTGCTGTTTGACATGATTAATAAAAAAGAAAAATATATAATGAATTAAATACGGTGTATATGTTCGAATTACTAAAGATTAATGACAGTGTTTGAATATTGTCCGGAATTATGGAATTTCAATGAAATGATAAAGTAATTTGTTTTTTTTTTAAATACTTTTTAAGACAAAAAAGTCAAATATATGTAAATGTCTTGTATGAGATTCCACATAATGATTCGATGGATGTTTATCTATAAAAATCTTTAATGTTTTGCATTTTAGTGAAAACTTCGATAAAGGTCATCATGATAACAGTAACAGAACAACAAAACCTAAAGGATATAAACAGAATACAAGTTGAAACCATAAAATCGATTGAACTGAATTCCTTCTGACATAAACAAATAACGTTTAAAATAGTTAAGTTATATTTTAAAGCATAAGATAAGAAATAAAACAAATTATTCATAATGTTTTGTTTTTTTTATTTTACAAATGATTCGTATAAAAAATGATGGAATATGATCTGTGAAATTCACAAGAAACATGAGAGATAAAGATGGCTTACATTGTTCACACCAAAATCAAGATGGAACAGAATAATATGAAACATACATATTTTAGACTTTTTACAAATGATGAAATATACACATTTGCAAGCATTGATAACAAGTTAATGGCATACAGATAACATATGTTCCATGTTTGATAAGAATCTGTGACCAGGAAAGAAATCTGGACAACTATGAAATGCGTCCTGTCTGTCGGGGTTCCTCTCACTGGTTAATGTTAATTAATTACGAAAACGTATCATATCGTACACTTTCTGATTCTCTCAAATAGCTGAACTAAACATGATAAAAAGAAACAAAGAAAGATGATTTAAGAAGTTAGATATGAACTATAAGACATTTGAAAACATTGAATCAGGACTGTAGATTTAAAATTGTTCAAAAAAATAAAAAAAATAAATATGTTACCAATACGCATGAGTGTTTCCAGAACTGAGCGTCCGTCCATATGGGATAATGTTCTATTACCTCTACTGTCATGACCTCCCATTTGTGACTTTCAAGGTTGAAATGTTTTCCAAAGGGTTCGTTGAGTGATCGAACGGTGAATTTTGATTCTCCTTTGGTGAGAACCCGAGACCCAGACATACCGTTTGGAACAATCTGTGCAATATGCAGTTGTCCGTTTGACAGGACAAATTTCTTTATATTCTGTAGCTTCTGCCTGTAGCGGGGCTGTTAAAACTGTCTGTATCGGAACTGTGCTTACAGAGAAGACATCTTCTGTCAGAGCAAATTTTAAAGCCTGCGTAAAGTAATGGATTGTACAATCTGGTTCTTACTACCATGTAATATTGCTTCTTTTGCAGGATATCGCTGAGGTTCTTTAGGGCGGGATGCTATGTAGTTACCAGAGGAATCCTGCTGCTAGGTCTTTCTTATTGTGGCGTAAAAGATTTTGCATGTCATGTCCTGACATTAATTCATCTAGCAGTTTGTATGGTGCGTGTTATGTAGCTCCTCTTGTCATGTCATTAATAGCAGTTTGTATGGTGCGGGCTTTGTAGCTCCTCTTGTCATGTCATTAATAGCAGTTTGTATGGTACGGGCTTTGTAGCTCCTCTTGTCATGTCATTAATAGCAGTTTGTATGGTGCGGGCTTTGTAGCTTCTCATGTCATGTCATTAATAGTAGTTTGTATGGTGCGGGCTTTGTAGCTTCTCATGTCATGTCATTAATAGCAGTTTGTACGATGCGAGTTTTGTAGCTCCTCTTGCATAAATGGGACTTAAGGATGCTGCTTTGTTCCTGATACATTTATAAAGCAGGGGGTGAACAGATGCACCGATACTGGTGGCTAGACCCTTCAAGGACAAATGTGTGTATTAAAAAATATATTAAATTGCGACTGAACTTCTCCGAAAACTAGGATTGGGTAATTTGCTTAAAAATATTTTATGCCGTGAGAAATATATAATGAATTTGAAAGATAAGGTTTAACTTTCTTTTTAAAAGTATTATAAAGAAGATTTTAAAAAAATTAGTTTAACTTCAGAAAAAGCTTTCCATGATTCATTTTTTGTTCGAAAAGCTTATGTTAAATAATAAATAGATAAAAAAAAACAGTTTTTATAAATTTATTGTAACAAGTATTTAAACAATCAGAATAAACATGTTATAAGAAATCGTCAGGTATGATCAAACAATTGGTATTTCATTTTCATATCATCCAAGCACTGTCAACCAGTATATCCGCCTGTAAGAATAAAGATAATTACCAATGAATTAATGTTCAAGTAATAAATTATAATTTAGAACGTAAATTGTAAATTTATCAGAAAAGGCCAAAAAACTTTGGTTAAAATGATCTTATTCTAAAAATTAGAATAGTCACTTCTTGTAATTAATATTTATTTAAAGTCATTGATTTAACATTCTTTTCATGTCAAATCGTTCTATTCATATCTAAAAGAGAATACACTGATAGTCATACCTGGATTGCAGGCCATTTCTGTACAGGATATCCCTCCAGTACTTTCACAAGTACATGTATTACAGCCGTCTGTGGCGGGAAACTTCTGTCCCACTGAGTACTTCTGACCGTTATAAAAACAGAACTTGGGGCATCCTATCTTGGTACATCCCACACTGCCATTTCCACCACAGGTACACGTGTTACACCCATCAGTGGCGGGAAAGTTCTCCCCTTCTTGGTATTTTTTACCATTATAATAGCAGTAGGCACAGCGTTCCTCCCTGCACGAGACCTGGCCGTTAGAACATTTGCAAGATTGACAGCCATCTTTGAATATCTCCCCGTTGTTGTATTCTCGGCCCTTATAGTTGCACTCTAAAAGATAATGAACACATTAACAAACCTTTT